AATAATTGCTGGAAGTAAGGTTATATATGCTGTTGCTTCATAACATTACATGCATTTTTTAATACATTTTTTGGTTTATTTTTCATTTTTTTTTTTTTATTTTAGAACACATGTGTGTGTGTGTGTGTGTGTGTGTGTGTGTGTGTTGTGTGTGTGTGTGTGTGGTGTGTGTGTGTGTGTGTGTGTGTGTGTGTGCGTATGTGGTGTGTGTGTGTGTGTGTTGTGTTGTGCGTGTGTGTGTACATACATATAAACATGTATATAATATATATATATATTATATATATATATATATATATATATATATATATATAATATATATATATATATATACACACACACACACAACACACACACACACACACACACACACACACACACATATATATATATATATATATATATATATATATATATATATATATATATATATATATATATATATATATGTATGTGTATGTATGTAATGTATGTGTGTGTGTGTGTGTTGTGTGTGTATGTGTGTGTGTGTGTGTGTGTGTGTTGTGTGTGGTGTGTGTGTGTGTGTGTGGTGTGTTGTGTGTGTGTGTGTGTGTGTGTGTGTGTGTGTGTGTGTGTCTGTACATATTCATGTATGTAAGTGTACACAAACCAAACACGCGGCGCGCTCACACGTTTATATGTATTTATGCCCATGCATACATCCTTATATGTGTGTGTGTGTGTGTGTGTGTGTCTGTATATCTATGAGAGCATGTTTAGATTTTTTTCTTTTTTTTTTCACACACACCGAGGACAAAGTCGGCCCCAACTCACCCAAGAGATTGGTCCTCTGAGTCAGCACTTTCGAATAGACAAGAAGGTCGCCCGGACAGATCTGCATGGGTGGGATGACGACGATGCTGGACCGGCGCTTGTTCCGTGCCAAGTTGCTGTCATTGCACCTGCAACGGGAAAGAATCGGTTGGCGGACGGCTGTTGCGAAGGGGGTGCGGGATGCGGTTTGCTGATGTGTTGGAAGGAGGAGTGGTGAGGAGGGAAGGAGGGAGGGTGAGAGGAGAGGGAGATGGTGGATGAAGGGAGAGGGAGAAAGTGGGATGGAGGGAGGGAGGGAGAGGAGAAAGTGGGGTGGAGGAGGAGAGGGAAAGTGGGGTGGAGGGAGGGAGAGGGAGAAAGTGGGATGGAGGGAAGGAAGGAGGGAGGGAGAGGGAGAAAGTGGGATGGAGGGAAGGAAGGAGGAAGGTATGGAGGGAGATAGATGGATGGAGATAGATGGATTTTATTTTTGATGGCGGGAGAAGGATCGAGTGGGATTTAAGAGAGAAAGAGAGAGGGAAAGAAGGAGGAAGGATGAAAAGGGAGAGAGAGAGAGTGGAAGAAAGAGGTGGGGGATAGAGAGAGAGAGAGAGAGAGAGAGAGAGAGAGAGAGACTGGCCGACATACATAGACATGGAAAAGAGATAGATAATAATTTATCTAATTGCTTTTCATATATTACCAAATATCTAAAGAAACAGCTGAGGAAAAGAATACGAATATAATATACAATGCTAAATTACCAATTATTATTATTATATAACAGGATTTATGAAAAGCGGATTCTGGAAACAAATAAATAAACAAAAAAAAAAAAATTTATATCAACAGGAATTATTATTATATCATCCATCATTTTTTATTATCATTTATTATCATTTTCGCTTCATTAGAAACATCACCATCACCACATATGTCCCTCATCATTGCCACATCACAGTCACCACATCTCAGACAAAACACCTTTCTTTTCCAACCACAATCGCCACCCTGCATCCACCAGTCACCGCTCTCATTCATTCATTACACTACCCCTCACCACACACATCATCACACTCTTCTATTCTTAACCACAATCACTACATCACACCCACTACAAACACCGATCTCATCCTTTCATTACCACACCACAGTCACCACACCACAGCAAACAGCAAACCACACCCATCATACTCATCCTCCAACCACCACAGTCATCACAGCTATCCGCCCCAGTCATCACATCACAGCCCCCACCAAGCCTCACCCACCTCACTCATCCTCCAAAAACCACAGTCACCACAACTCTCCACCAAAAACACTACACGCGCTACACTCATCCTCCAACCACCACAGTCGCCACAATCACCACAGCCGCCACAGCTCTCTACCACAAACACCATACTCATCCTCCAACCGCCACACTCATCCTCCAACCACCACAGTCCCACAGCTCACCACAACACCACACCTCATCTCCAACACACCACACTCATCCTCCAACCAACTCATCTCCAACAACACTCATCCCCCTCATCCTCCAACCACACAGTCGCCACAACTCTCCCACCACAGACACCATATTCATCCTCTAACCACACACTCATCCTCCCAACCACCACACTCATCCTCCAACCACCACACTCATCCTCCAACCACCACACTCATCCTCCAACCACCACAGTCGCCACAACTCTCCACCACAGACACCATACTCATCCTCTAA